ACATAGTTCCATGTCTAGTGATAGACAGCTTAACTACACTTTTACTGTAGTCAACCCCAAACGGACACCAAGCAGTCTGAAGGATGAGAGTAACTGAGACTCAGTCTATTGTTCTTGGCGGACTGCCTGGAAAGCCAGAGTTGAGGTGCAGAGAACTAGCAGAGCAGTAAAGGCAGAAACCCCACCTCTGCACTTAGCACACATGTGGACAACTGCTGCTCCTTACCATTTGTCTGAGGAATGCAAAGTTAAACATACATTTTAAAATGTTGATATTGGGACCAGCAGATGGTGTGATGGCTGTGTTGCTGGACTCCCATGTAGTTAATCACAGTTCAAGTCCCGGACCCAGTGGCTTAAACTCACGCCGGGCGCATGTGTGTCCATGCGCAAGATCTCGAGAAGAGAATGGAGGAAGAGGGATTGCGGCGTGGCCATCCCCCTGGGGGGTGATTTCTCGCTTTCTGTCTCTCTCCCTCTCTCTGTCTTTCTGGCGAATGCACACACCCTATAGCAAAAACCTCTCCAAAATAAAATAAAATGTTGATATTTATTTGCTAACAAGATTCTTCTTCAGTTTCCCTTTTACTTTATTACTTTATAGCATGTGCCACAGAAAGCACACAAGACAGAAAGGGAGAGGGTGGCTTGCTCTTGAGCTTTAAAATCAAACAGACGTGAGTTTGATCTCAGACTTTGCTATGTATCAGCTATACCTGTTGGATAACTTTCCTACTTCTCTAAGTTCACATTTTCTCATCTGTAAAATGGGATTAAGAAATTATTTCTCGTGGGATTGTTGTGAGAATGAATCCACACACTCTCACCAAAGCACCTCAGAGAATGTGCCCTTCTCAGTTGACAGGCTGAGAGACAGAGAGTTTAGGATTGAACTGCAGGCTAAAGACAGGACACCTGGCTTCACCTGCAATTCCACTGAGGTCCTCTAGGATGCCCTTCACCCCAGCCACAACCTCTATCAATCCTGCCTGTGTTTTTTTCTCTCTCTCTTTTCATGGAGAGGTTTTTGTTATAGGGCATGTGGCTCGCCAGATAGAGAGAGACAGAGAGACAGAAAGCAAGAAATCACCCCCCAGGGGGGATGGTCAAACCACAATCCCTTCTCCTCCATTCTCCTCTTGGGATCTTGGGCAAGCACACACACATGCACTCGCAAGAAAGACAGAGCCTGGCACGAGTTTAAGCCACCGGCTCTGGGACTCGAACTGCGGTCGACTACACGGAAGTCCAGCAACATAGCCATTATGCCAACTGCTGGTCTGCTGCCAGTGTTTCTCTAAGTATTGGAACTGGCTCAGTAGCAGTTGTATGTTTTCACATGTAAAAAATGGAATAAATAATGCAGAGAAATAGGGGTTTACAATAAATTATAGTTAGCTATCAGGTTACTGAAAAGCTGGAAAGATGAGCAAAAAGGCCCACACAGTTTCTTAGCATGCAAACCCGCTTTCAGTTGGAGCATACTGGGTTTAGCTGAGGCCAGTTGGAAGTACATGTGGTCAGCCATACTTGGACAGATTGAGAGTGCTAAGCCTTAAAGAATAGTAATTGAAGTGCTGAGCTTCCTGAATAGTATCCGCTGAGTGTGATGAGAAAATGAGAGAAAAGATCCATGGCACCAACAGTGTCTTTCACCCAGAAACACTGGTCTCTTCTCTGTCTGGTAAACACTCTTTTCTCTGCATCTTTTGCTTTGGTATTATGTTTATTCTGCTCTTTTCTAATCTATTTTTACTTTAGACATCATTCTTTAGGAAAACACATTTCTGCTGTGACCAACAGCTAGGCACATGTAGGATGAAAAGACTGAAATGTCTCCTGTTGGTATTTTCTCTCTAATAACAAACCTGGCTCTCGAGCCCCGAAGAGCCAACACTGCCAGGAGCAATTCCAGCTGGTTTCTGTTTTGCTTCACATGACATCAGCAGAAGCTGTCAGTTGAGTTTCACTTGCTAGAAATTTATGACCAGGGATACTGTTAAAAGCAGAAAAGATCCAGCTGGGCTTTCAGATCCCTGACTAAGAGAGTAAAGAGAAGGAGGGAGAAATGAAAAGCATGACTAATATCAGGGATACAGCCTGAAAACTCCTTTCTTTTTACCTACAACCGAGGTGCAGTGAAAGTGTTTCCCAGAGGGTGTACAATTATGATCCTGCTATTTCACCCATGCTTGTTTCCCCCCTGGTTAAAATCTGGCCATGAAGAATGCTTTACCGGGAACCAGCAGTTAACGTAATGGCTATGTTGCTGGACTCCCACGTAGTCGACAGCGGTTCAAGTCCCGGACCCTGTGGCTTAAAACTCATGCTGGGTGCATGTGCGTGCGTGCCCAAGATCCCGAGAGGAGAATGGAGGAGAAGGGATTGCAGCGTGACCATCCCCCCTGGGGGGTGATTTCTCGCTTTCTGTCTCTCTGTCTCTCTCTGTCTGTCTGGTGAGCGCACGCGCCCAATAGTGAAAACCTCTCCAAAAAAATAAATACATAAAAAAAGAGAATGCTTTGCCTGCCCTGTAGACTAAGTGGGCAGAGTAAGGTGATGTGCTTTAGTGGGATGGGCAAAGTCCTAGGTGCTCAGAAGAGAGCAGTGGAGCATAGGATGAATGCTTTCTACGCCCCTCAGACACGCTAAGTACCAGGTAGAGTTCTACTCTGAAATCAGTGATGTTTTTTTGGCTCTGACTTAAATATTCCCATTTACGTTTATGTTCTCTGGGAATATGCAAGCAGCTGTTGAACTACTCTAACAGCCTATCATCCAATAACCTAATTTTATATAATCACTTTAAGGCCCTGGTTAAAAATAGTAACAACACATAAAAACTACATGGCAAGACACGCCACACACAACTAGCCGAAGCTTAGATTTTGTTCTAGTGCATAGACCCACCATTGATGGAAACAGCTCATAGAATCTGGAATAGGCCCCACCATGCCCATGAAGACGTGTGCTCTGAGTAACACTTCCAATGCATATTTAAGCTTTTTTTTTTTTTTTTGGAGAGGTTTTTGCTATAGGGCGTGTGCGCTCGCCAGACAGAGAGAGAGACAGAGAGACAGAAAGTGAGAAATCACCCCCCAGGGGGGATGGCCACGCCACAATCCCTTTCTCCTCCATTCTCCTCTCGGGATCTTGGGGACGCACGCGGCCGGCGTGAGTTTAAGTCACCGGGTCTAGGACTCGAACTGCTGTCGACTACGTGGGAGTCCAGCGACATAGCCATTACGCTAACTGCTGGTCCCGATATTTAAGCTTTTTGAAATCACTATAAAGATAGTCACCAGAGTCCCTCTGTCCAGATCATTAATCTAACTTTAGGTCAGACTAGAAAAATGAAAGCCCAAGTCCCTCTACCCAGATCATTACTGCAACTTCAGGTCCGACTGGAGAAATTCAATTTAAAACCTTTTTAAGAAATGCTTTCAGAGAAGAGTGCCTGTCACTTTAGTCGGGGTCAGAGGGCATGGAGTCACCTCATGTTTTCAGTGGGAATGGTACTGTCCTTAATGCCAGGCGTCGGTCCCCTCACCCTGGCACCAGAGAAAATTGTTTCTCACTCACATTATCCAACATTAATGTACTGACCTTGCACTCTAAGTTCATTGTAACATACCCTTTTTCTCCTTGATAGCCTGAAGTAAAATGATAGCGTTTAAGAAGCCAAGAGTAGAAACCTTGGAGAGGCACTTAAAGAGAGAACAGGAGACAGGCAGAGGAGAACAAGGAACCAATTTTAAATCACTGACGAGAATCGTCCTTGTATTTAAGATAGGTTTATTGCTGCCCAAAGTCTTCCTTAGGTTTAACTAGTTCTCATTCGTTTTTTAATTATTCATGATAGAGAGTACACGCATACACATACTAAAGAGAGAGAGAATGAGACAGAAACAGAAACCTTCTACAGGGTCTCAACACATCGGGATCCTCTTTGCCCAGCTCTCCAGCCCATCGGGATCTTGGGCACATACACACCTATCCAGATATTTTCAAGTCAATCAAGTCTCTCGTTGGCGGCCACTGTTTTCGTACTTTGAATGGTGGCAAGTAATGGCCACAAGAGAGGGTAATGAGATGAATCTGTGACTTGCCCGATCCCACAGCACTCAGAACCACAGGCAAAGGTCCAGAAGGGACTGACTGTCTTTCTCACACACACATGCACACACATAGGTGTGTTACAGAGCCTCCGGAAAAACTAACACCTGGACTTCAAGTTCAGATGTATTTCGAGGGTGTTGGGAATTGGAGCAATTAAGCCGGTCCCCCAAACTCCACCCCTTTGGCTCATGCTGGTAGTTGGGCAGTGATGGGGAAAGCAGCATTCATGGGGAGATTTCTGCCAACTGGTTCTAAAAGTATTTGTGATGGCCACACCAATCATACTCGCTCCCCACCCAGGCTGTCTTACTTTCTTTTTTATTATTATTAATTTAATTTATTATTATTATTTTTTAATTTGACAAGAGAGAGACAGAAGGAGAGGAAAAGTGAGAAAGCAAGCCACCAGGTCCAGAACTCAAACCGCAGTTGGCTATGTGGGAATCGGCATCTTAACCACCATACCTCCTGCCGGCCCTCTGCCTTCCTTTCAAAGTAGGCCACTTTAGGGACTCCTTCACTCCTTTATTCTTTGGCCTTGCTGGAAGAGAGCCGTGTCCATAAACATCCCTTGGAAGAGAGCAGTCAGACCAGGAGAGGGGTACTGCCTGCACAGGTTTCCCTGGGCTCCTAACTGAGGGTCCCCAGCTACTGACGCTGCACCTGAGGGCTGTGTCATGGTCAGAGGTTCACGGAGCATCTGGACTGAAAGGAGGTACTAGCTGGCTGTCCTTCATTGCCAAACTTCCCAGTCTTCCTGGAGTGGTACAGCTTCAGCCATAGTTTGGAAACTAGCAACGAAATGTTACAAAAATCACAAGGCAAACATTAACACGCTCTGCCCCTGCCCACAGAATAATGCCAAGGAGAAGGTTACTTACAAGGAGCCTTCGTTTGCCTTCAAAGGAGCCCAGTAGGCCGGTCACCGACTTCCTGGGGCTCTGAGTGAAATGTTTCGTGGTGGGTTTCTGATAGCCGTCCTGCTCTGTTTTACCTGCTTTCTTCTTCTTGCTCTTCTCTTTCTCCTGTCTGCTCTTTTTCTCAGCCTTCTTCATTTGCTTTTCACTCTTGAGTGACTTGTCTGGCTTCTCATTCTTTACCTTTTTTTTCTTCTCTTTCTCAGGTTTCTCAAGCTTTTCATGCTTTTTAGAATCCTTTGCTTTGTGGGGAGACATATTCCCTGCCTGCTGCTCCTCCTCCCGCTGAGAGGCTGTAGGCCGGCTGAGGTCATGCTTATCCTCATACTCATTGCTAAGGATTTTATCCTGGGCCTTCTTTTTGGGAGGTTTCCCCTTTGTTGACTTGTGAGGACCTGGTACCACATTTGGGTCCTGGTGGCCATGTTCCTGCCTGTCTGTGTGGTTGTCCCGGAAACGGCCTGGGCCAGCAGCCCGAGCACTGGGCTCGGAGACAGTGGTGGGAGGAGCAGCCGTGAAGCTATCAAAGCTGGTGGCCTTACCAGGCCTCCTGGTGGTCTGGGCCCTCTCCCTCTGCTGCTCCTTCCGCAGGGGAGGGTAGAGATTCTCAGAGACTGAGGGTCCCCTGGCAGTGGGCACTTCAGCTGTTGTAGGGGGCCTGTGAGAGGCTGGGAAGGAGTGCACCCGAGGGGTCCAGGGCCTCTGGGTGGTCGGATAGGTGGTGGTGGTTGTAGGTCTCGCAGCTGTTACCACCTGGGAGGTGGCCCGAGTCACAGTAGTGGTTGGAGAAGGAAGAATGGTGGTGGCCCTTGGAGTTGGGGGTGGTGAGGGAGGGGCCACGGTGGTGGTGGTCAGTTTTCTCGTGACCTTCACCCGACTCTCTCTGGTTGGCAAGACTTGTGCTTTCCTCAGCTCGTCTTTTCTCTTCTCACTGCCCAGGCTTGGTCTTCCTGCTCCTCCACCACCATTGTTGCCCTCCTCCACCACCTGGCCCTCTATACCAGATGCCTTACACTTTTGCACAAAGCCCTTCTGCCTGATCTTCTCTATCCTGCGGATGGGCCCCTGGTCAATGACCTCGTACATAGCCTCCAGCCTGACAGGGTAAGGATAGCGCTCCTCTACCTGCAGCGTCTTCTTCAGCAGCACCATGCCAAACTTGCCCTTCTCCAGCTTCAGGAAGCTCATCAGCTTCGGGATGAGGCTGGGGTCCAGGGGCTGCTCCAGGACCTGGCCCTCACTGGTGATCCTTCGCACCTTGCCCCCTTCCTCCCCCGCCTGGTGAAACAGCACGATCTGCTGAATGTGCCTTTCAGCCAGCTCACAGTACACATCGTCCTTCAGGAGGCTCATCATCAGGCGGTAGTAGCCTTCTGAGGCATGAGGGGCAGAGATGACCCACACCCTGTTCTTCCCTGCAAAGCTGGCAAGGATGTTGGGAGAGCCAGACCCAGAGGGAAAACGCAACATCCTCGACCGAGCCGAGGACCCCTCATCTCGGACCATCTCACGGGGAGAGCTCTTGGCAGTTGGTCTCTGCTCAGGCCTCAGGGAGGCCCCACTGATGCTCGAGGGGGTTTGCAGCACCGTGGGACGAGCCAGCCTTAACACTGGCACACTCCTCCTTCTCTGCAGAGTCTGCAGGTTCCGTTCCTCCAGAGTGGACCTCTCAGTATCGCGAGACCTTCCCGTGTGCCTCAGAAACCGAGCTGGCCTACCGCTGAGTGGAGAAACCACCGCGGCTTTCCTTCCTCCGTGGCTCCCTCTGTTCCTGGCCTGGGTATGGGGTTCTGACCCACAAACGAGCCACATTGCCAACAGCATGGCGAAACAGGGTCCCATTCTCCACGTCATTGTGTAATCCACTTTGGGATGCAGCAAGGACATAAAACACAAAAGGGGAAAAGGAGGAGAGAGAAAATCATTTAATTGCAGACAAAGCTGGTCATTTTCTCTTTCTCTTGGCCAAGGGGAAGGGGAAGGTATGGTTAGAGAAGAATAAGAAGAGAGGGCAGGGAATGAATCGTCGGATGGGATCCTGTTGCCTTTAAGCCCCTATAATTTGTCAGTACTTAGCAGAGAGTTCCATGAAGCAGGAAATCAGGTCCCCAGGCAGCATGCTTGCACCGTTTCAGCTAACTCTGGATGCTCCAGAGAAATGCAACCCGAGCATGTTAGTTATGACAACATTCACATTTCATTTCTTCAAATAAGCGACTAAGAAACAAACATACACACCAAAGGCAGAAAGGATTACACACTTACATTGTGGCTCATAGAGGTGGAATGCAGAGGATTTCAAACGAAATCCGGTTTGGTCCCCAGGACAGTTTCCTGGATGAAATACTTCTCTTCCCAACCCTCTCGCTTCTTTCCGAGGGTGAGCAATACAAAAGCTGCAGCGGCAGCTTTCAAAGGAGCACCACGGAGCCACACAGCCTGTCCTGATCTGAGAGCTGGGCTGGTTCCTTCTCTTGCTGGCTGTGCCTTTTACCTTCTGGACAAGTAGGGTGAGGTGAAAGGAGCTGTCCTTTTAAGCCTTTGTGTCTCCATTTGTCTGCAGTCGCTCCTGGGTCTCGGTGTCTGTGTGCACCAGTCCCTGGTGCCGGCACAGGACGCCCCTTAGAGCGGAGCCCTAGCGATTTCTGAATCTCGCTCTTTCC